AAAAAAAAAAAAAAAAAGGTCGTAAGTGCGGTTCATCGTAACTCGAATATGTTGTAAGTTGGGGATTACCTGTACTGTTAAGACATGTGGTACCCTCCTAGAAGGTTTCCTGGACATATACAAGACATATATGTTTGAATGTATAGATGGACATAAAGCCGTTTTTTCACCAGATAGTATCATATGCATCCTGCATCTTGCTTTTTTTATCTGACACATCACAGCAGTGTTTATAGAGCAGCAGCATTCCTCTTATCAGCTGCAGTGTTTTAGCATAGACTATGCATAGTCTATCCAGCCAGTCTGCTGTTGGTGGAGGACTGTAGGTTTCTGGCAGTATTATGATGATCATCCTTGTACCTAAATTTTGACCCTCTTGTCTATTTCCCAAGTATAAAACCCCAGGATTAGAAATGTACTCCTAGAAAGCTTTTGATAACATTTTGTTACATTTCAGCCTAATAATATAAGCAGCAGTTAATATTTATTGTACCCTTAATATCTGCCATTGGTTTACATGGATTATTTTCATTTTATCCCTCAAACAGCCGTGGGGGGTAAGTACTATTATTATTCCCATTTTACAGATGGAGAAACTGAGGCTTAATGAGGTGGAGTGACAGAGTCTGATTCTAGTTCTGCCTGACTTTTGACGTATGAGTTCTTAACTCTTTGTACTGCCTCTGTTGGGAATTACTTGGACTTTTTTCCAGATCTGATTGTGTGTGTGTAATAAGGATTTGTATTGTGAATCTTGATTGAATTTTTGACTGGAGAATTGCATGCAAAGGACTGAATGTCCATTGGTGAGATCGCGGATACCATCGCTGGCAGGGTGTGTGTGTGTGTGTGTGTCTGTAAGTGATTAGTGGTTGCTGTCTAAGGCTGGCACTATCTGATCCTGACCCTTACCTCTGGCTTCTAAGTGCTCTGCCCCACCCCTGCCCCTTCTTGAGCAGCAAAGTTACTTCTCTCTGGGGAGCTGGACAGCAGACAGTGGCTCACAAACTCTAGACCCTTTCAGGATGGTTCCCTGGAGAGGGCTGCAGAGTGAAACCTGAGCCCCAGGTGTCTCCTGTTCCCTCTTAGCTCCTCAGGATGGATCTTGGCCCTCCCTGGTGGTGGGAGGCCCCAAGAGAGTCCAGGGCTCTCAGGTCACCCTTGGCCCCAGCCTCTTCTTAGTGGAGGAGAGACAAGGGTTGACTGGGTTGGGGACACCTGACGGGTCTCACGTGTCTGGTCTTCCCACCATTTCTGTCTGGTCATCTGAAATGTCTGCAAGGTTGGCAGAAAGGACACTAGGAAGGGGTCGAGGATGTGGATCCAGGCCCAGGTTTGCTCCTTACAATCTGTAAAGGAAGCACCAGTCCTTGACCCCCTCCCCAGTGGTGTGAGGACAAATAGAGGGGGGTCGGAAATTGTTCTGAGAGGTATGAAGCCTAGCTGTGTGGAGCACCTCGGCTGTGTCTGAAGAGGCCCAAAGGGGGACCTCTTGCTCAGCTGTGGTTGAGAAACTGTCACCACCAGGGCTGAGTGGGGCTGGAATGCCCAACTGCAGTCCAGCAGCTCTTTCTAAAGTGAGCAGGGAAAAGCGTTTGGAACAGGGGGGCAGGGTGCAGAGTGCAAAACAAACAGTCCTGCCCTGTCCTGCCCTGGTCCACCATCCTGACTGGGTCCTACTTCACTGTACCTACTCCTGACACTGTCACAGAGCCCTGCCCTGTGCTTCCAGTGGGGCCCATGCCCCTCACCAAGCCTGACACAGGCCTGACCACTCACTCACCTTAGCCTGCCCGCTCTAGCCTATCCAGGGGCTGTGAGGGAAACCTAGGCGTTTTCCCCAGCTCAGAAATCATAAACTTTTTATGGCACATAATTTTGGTGAATCTTTTGCAGCTATGAGGCATCATACCTTAGTAGAATACTTAATCTGGAATATGCTTATGACAAAATTAAAATATTCTCTTTAAAAAATGATAGATAATGACTACTATTAAAAATTAAATGTGCTTTTTAGAGACTTATTTATCTATGCCTGTGTGCTAACCAAAAGGTTGGCGACTTGAACCCCCCCAGCCACTCCACAGGAGAAAGACCTGGTGATCTGCTTCCATCATACAGCCTAGAAAACCTAATAATGGGGCAGTTCTACTCAGTCACATTGGATCGCTCTGAGTCAGAACTGACTCGACAGCACCCAGCAACAATAACATGCTATGTAAGAGTCCCTGGATGGTACAAATAGTTGATGTGCTCAGTTCCTAACTGAAAGATTGGAGGTTCAGGCCCACCCAGAGGTGCCTCATAAAAAAGGCCTGGCGACCTACTTGTGAAAAATCTGCCACTGAAAACCTTATGGAACATAGTTCCACTCTGTCACAAATGGGGTTGCCACAGGTCAGAGTCAACTCGTTGGCAACTGGTTTTTTTATATGCTGTATATACCTACAAGGAGCCCTGATGGTGCAGTAGTTAAGCACTCAGCTGCTAACTGAAGGTAAGTGGTTTGAACCCACTAGCCGCTCAGTGGGAGAAAGATGTGGACAGCCATGGAAACCCTATGGGGCAGTTCTCTGTCCTATATGGTCACTATGAGTCAGAATTGATGGCAACAGGTTTGGTTAGATGTACCCACAAGTATGGTTTTGGTTTTCAGACAAATCTGGGAGCATTTGATAACCTTTGTGTAGCTATTTGCCCCCCAACCCCATTTTCTTTAACCTACCAATATACTGTGAACAACTTTTCCTCTCAGTACACTCAGACACATCTACTTCATTCTTTTTAACAGCTTCTTATAAGGGCTCATCTAGGTTTTTTGGTGATTATTTCTGGGTATTTGGATTCTGTGCGTGATTCTAACTTCTTTATACTTGTGTAAAGTGGGGAAATGCTTGCCCTTTGTCTTTGGTTTAGGGGCTCCTGTTTTTGTGGCCCTGGCACTGGCCCAACCAGAAGCAGGTTGAGCATCTTATTTTGAACATCTGTGACAATAGAGATAATTAAGAATTTTTTTTTTTTTTAAATTTGCGGCATGTTTTGAGGACACATAAGCCACCAAGCTGTAAGGTTCTGAGTTAGCAGGAGTGGGGAAGGCCTCCAATTTCCCCTTTCTGGCCTGGCTTCTCCACAGCCTGGCTATGCTCTCAGCCTCATGCAGGGCCCAGCACACAACTCTTTTCTTGGGCTCACCATGGAGACCAGCTTCCCATGGTGGCCTCACACGTGGGCCACAGGGGCGACCCATAGGGTAAAAAGCAAGCAGAGGTGAGAATTGGCAAAGGAGTGATCAAAACAAGACTTGAATGAGAATTAGGTTAAAATGCTTTCTTGCCCAATTGTCTAGAAAATATGGGTATTTTGCTACAGATATGTATGAAGGGAATGAGTATGTTCTCCAGTCATTTTTGAGTTGAGCAAGTCAAACTTGTATGTCTTCATTTATTTATTCAACAAACATTTATTGCTCACCTACTATATGTCAGAAAAAAAGGTCCCTGGCTGACGCAAGCAATTTGCAATGAGCTACAAATCTAAAGGTTGGTGAGTTAAACTCACCCAGTGGTGCCATGGGAGAAAGGCCTGGCAACCTGTTTCTTTAAAAATTACAGCCAGAAGAACCCTATGGAGCAGTTCTACTCTGTAACACATGGCGTCATGAGTCAGAATTGACTTGACGGCAACAGGTTTAGTTTTGGTTTACTATGTTTCAGGCCCTATTCTAGTTGTTGAGGATAAAGCAGTGAATAAAAAATCACATAAATCCCTGCCATCAAGGAGCTTGTATCCAGCAAAATATTGCCCCTTACCAGCTAGGTAGGAAGGGTGGCATCACCATCACCATCTCACTGGGTATCAAGGAGATTGAGGATCAGATGGGTGTGGTAACTTACCCTGGGTCCCTTAGCAGTGTGTGACAGCAGCTGTGCTGAGCCTCTTGGCTCACAGCCCTACTGAGCTGGGCCTCTCTTGCACAGATCATCTTCCTGCAGACCAGGCCTCGCCTGCCACATACGGCTGCCCTGCTGAGCAGCTGCATTGATGGCTACATCTACGCCTGGTCCATTCATGGGAACGGAGGCCTGCTGGGGAAGTTCCCTGTGGACTTCCAAGACAATGGGGATGTGGTCGTGGGCGCCATGGCCACTGACGAAAATGACTGGATTCTTGTCACAGGGGATTGCAGAGGATGCATTAAGGTGAGGAAGAACTGGCACCAAGATTGAGGGGCTGGTGTCAGCCAAGCTTCTGGCCACCCCTTTGCTACATGTGGCCTTTGCCTAGTCCTTCTTCCCTCTGGGTACTGGTTTCATTTGTGAAACAGTGGGGAGTAGGGTGGATCACCTAAGAAGTCCTCTCATAGTCTGGTGTGCTCAGGGAAATGAGCGAGAGTCCACTTTGTTTTTGTTCTTGGCTGGCTTAAAAGACTCCTCCAAAAAACCTTCCCAGTGAATGCCATGCTCCATCGTTCTCTGCTTACAACTCCCTCATCCCCAGCCATGCATCTTATCTGTCATCAGCTATCTCAGGAACGGATTTTGTGCTTTGTGGTGAGACGTGAGGCAGGAGTGTCTTGTCCTTGGGCCGGTCACCCCCTTTCTGCCTGCTAACCCAGAGGTCTGGCCTAGATGGTCTCTAAGACCCCTTTGTCCCCAAGAGTCTGGATGTCTCAGATGGATGAGTAAGATCCATCCCCAAGGTGAAGAGGAGTGGTCTGGGAGGAGCCTACAGCATGAGTTGAGGTTGGGGTCAAGATGAGAGGTGCTGGCCCACTAACCCATACTTTGTACCTAGATCTGGGACATCAAAGATTACTGCATATCCACTGACCATCACAATCAGCTGTCCAGAAACAGTGGGGGAAAGGCTGTCTCTGAAACAGAGAACAAGTTCCAGCTCTTAATTCCTAAGCAGCTCCAGGTCAGCCCTTCAAAATACATGTCCTTGGAGGAGAAGCAGGTAGGAAGATTACTGGAGGGTTGCTCCCCAACTATTCAGCTGGGGACCATGATTCTCTTACTGAAATTCTGAGTCTTCCATGTTTCCTGTTCAAGGTTATCTGGCTGATGTGGAAAAGTCTTCATTAACCAGTAAAACACAAGTATACACATACCAAACACCCTTATGCACATATACATACACCCACCCCTTCCATGAGCTTTAATCTTTGCAATGGAGTCATGCATTCTTTGTAAAAATAATTAAAATTGTAATGTATTTTCTTGCTGAAAAAGCTCCTGATATTTCCCCGATGGTAATGAAGTTGAGCACCTTTTTATTAGTCATCAGGAGAAACGCACATTAAAACCAAAATGTGATACCTCTACACACCCATCACAATGGCTAAAACTGAAATGACAGGCAACACCAAAAGTTGGAAAGCATGTAGATCAACTGGAACTCATACACTTCTGGTGGGAATATGAATTGGCATAATCACTTGGAAGAACTGTTTTGCAGTAGCTGAATATATGCTTACCCTATGACCTAGCAGTTCCACTCCTAGGTTAATCCCAAGAGAAATAAATACACTAAAAGATATGAATAAGAACGTTCATAGATTTACTATTCCTAATAGCTTCACAATAGTAACAATTCAAATGCCCATCTGCAGTAGACTGGAGAAATAAATTGTGGTATCTACACACTATAGACTAATACCCGGTAATGGAAATGAATGTTCTACAACTACTCAGTGTAACATAGGCGATTCTTCAAACAATTTAAGCAAAAAAAGGCCAGACACAAAAGAGTATATATTTTATGTTTGATGATTCCATTTATATAAAGTACAAAAAACAGACAAAACTGATCTATACTGTGAGAAGTGATTATCTTTGGTGGCGGGAGTAGAGTGACAGAAAAGGGTCATGAGGAGGACTTCTGGAGGCTGACAGTATTCTGTTTCTTATCTGGGTGCTGATTATATAGTCATGTTCAATTTGTAGACATTTATTCAATGGTACATTTATGATACGTGCATTTCTCTGTATATTATACATCAATGAAAGTTTAAAAAAAAATCAAGCAATATAAAAAGGCTTACAGTGCGGAGCCTTATTCCTATTCCTGTCCCCTCAAAAACCAGTTCTTCTTATTCCTTAAAGTAACCAGTTCTGTTGATTTTTGGTTATTTTTCCAGTATTTATTCAAACATAAATGTGTTAAGTTATTTTCCCCTTATTTTTACATGAAGGTAGCATAGCATATACACTGATACTCATCTTGCTTTTCTTCATAATATATCTTGGAGACCTTTACATATCAGTACATTATTTTTTATGGCTGTGTAGGATGGCTCAGCATAATGTTTTCCGTGTCATAACATGTATCAGAATTTCATTTCTCTTTATGGTTAAGTAATATTCTACTGTATGGATGTACCGCATTTATCCATTCATCTGCTGATGGGTACTTGGGCTGTTTCCACCTTTTTGATATTGTGGATAATGTTGCAGTGAATACTGGTGTACAAGTGTCTGTTTGAGTCCCTGCTTGCAAGTCTTTTGGGTATATACCTAGTAGTGGAATTGTTAGGTCATATGGTAATTCCGTGTTTAGCTTTTTGAGGAGCCCCAAACTATTTTCCACAGCAACTGCACCATTTTACATCCCCACCAGTAATGGATGAGGGTTCCAATTTCCCCACATCCTCATTGACACTTGTTATTTTCTTTTTTTCTGATAATAGCCATCCTAGTAGGGGTGAATTGGTGAAGTGGTATCTCATTGTGGTTTTGGCTTGCAATTTCCTAATGACTAATGAAGGAGTGTTGGTGGCACAGTGGTTAAGCACTCGGCTGCTAACTGAAAGGTCAGAGGTTTGAACCCACAAGCGCTCCACGGGAGAAAAGACCTGACGATCTGCTCCCATAGAGATTACGGCCTAGGAAACCCTACAGAGCAGTTCTACTCCATCCTATAGGGTTGTTATGAGTTGGAATTGACTCTGCGGCACAGAACAACAACTACTAACGGGAGTCCCTATGTAGTGCAAATAGTTAAATGCTTGCCACTAAATGAAAGGTTGGTGGTTTGTGTTCACCCAGAGGTACCTCAGAAGAAGGACCTGGTGATCTATTTCTGAAAAATCAATCATTGAAAATGTTATATGGATCACGCTTATACTCTGATACACATGGGGTCGCCATGAGTAGGAATTAGCTCTATGGCAACTTTTTTTTTGTAATTTTATTGTGCTTTACGTGAAAGTTTACAGCACAAATTAGTTTCTCATTAAAAAATTTATACACAAATTATTTTGTGGCATTGGTTGCAATCCCTGCAACATGTCAGCACTCTTTTCCACTCCTTTTTTTTTTTTAAGTGACTAATGATGAGTATCTGTTCAAGTGCTCATTGCCTGTCTTCTTTGGAGAAATGTCTATTCAAGTCCTTCGACCATTTTTAAATTGAGCTGTAGGAGTTCTTTATATATTCTAATATTAAACTCTTATCAGATATATGGTTCCCAAATATTTTCTCCCATTTTGTAGCTTGTCTTTTGACTTTCTTGATAAAGTCCTTTGATCACAAACATTTATAATTTTGATCAAGTTTAATTTATTTTTTGCTTTGCTGCTTGTGTTTTTGGTGTTATATCTAAGATTCCATTGTCAAAAAAAAGGTCTTGAAGCTTTATCCCTATGTTTTCTCCCAAGAGTTTTGTGGTTTTAGTTCTTATATTTAGGTCATTGATCCATTTTGAGTTAATTTTCATATACAATTTGAGGTATGGGTCCAGTTTCATACTTTTGCACATGAAGATCCAGTTGTCCCACCATTATTTGTTGAAAAGACTATTCTTTCCCTACTGAATGGACTTGGCACCCTTGTCAAAAATCAATTGACCGTAGATATATGGATATGGTAACCATCCTTTGTAAGTGATGTATAATTATTTTAAAAATATATTAAAAGATAGTAACCCATTGTCTGTCATACGTATTTCAAACATTTCCCAATGTCATTTGCCTTTTAATTTCATTTGTGGTGATTTTTAAGTTACAGTCTTTTTATTTTTTGTGATCAAGTCAGTTTTTCTTCCCATTGTGATGTTTCTCATTGCCTTCTATCACTTTCCTATTCATAGATATCTTATGGTTTCATTAAAAATAATTCTTCAACCCTTCTAGTATTTATTTAGTTGTAAAATGTCAGTTAATGATTTAGCTTCTCTTAATAGTTAGTCAGCTCATACTCATAGTGACCCTATAGGACAGAGTAGAATTGCCTCAGAGGGTTTCCAAGGAGTGGTTGGTGGATTTTGAACTGCTGACCTTTTGGCTAGCAGCTGAACTCTTAACGACTGCACCACCAGGGCTCACTCAGTAGCAGTGGGTTTGGTTTGGTGTTTTGGTTAATAGTTATTCAGGTGTTTCAGCACCATCTATTGAGTCACATTTCCTATGACCACGAGTTTTGCTGCCACTCTTATATTTATGTGTATTTGCCTTGGTTTCTCAGTTCTCTATCCCTTTCATTGTTCTGTAAATTTATAGTTTGTATCATTGTGAGTTAACATACTTGAATATGGTTGGATAAGTCTCCCTTAATTAATCTTGTTTTTTTTTTTTTTTAAATGATCATAGTTATTTGTGCTCATTTTCCAGTCAAGTGAAGCTTATTCTGTTATACATAAGGTTGCTATGAGCCAGAGCTGACCTGATGGCACCTAGCAACAATAACAAAAATGTGATGTATTACCTGCTTAGTCTCCCTATTCATCTCCCAATGCCCAACTGAATAACTTTAGAAGGCAAAAAGACCTGGGTTCTTGTCCTGGCCCCATCACTTTCTATCTGTGTGGGTTTAGGCCAGCTACTGAACGTCTCTGACCCTCACTTCTCTCCTCTGTAAAATGGTGAGAGTCATACGCATCCCATAAAGTTGTGAGGTTCGAATGGAATAATGTGTGCAAATGTGTATAAACAATATAGCAAGGCCTGGAGAAGTGCCAGGGCCTACTTAAGGTCACCAGAAGTTAATGCGGGAATATGTCCAGAACTAAAACCCTAGCCTGTGTCCCAGGGTCCTTACACTGGCCTCTGCTGCTTCCAGTCCTGGATGCTTTCTGATGAGCCTGTGTGGTGGTCTAAGTAGTTTTTCTGTACTGTCCCCTATAGGTTGTGGATGGCCAGACCATTTCTCTGACTCCCCCCAAGCTACTGATTACCTGGAAGGGCCATTTGGAGAGTGTGGAAGACATCCTGTATGTGGACAGCTTCCAAATGGTTATCAGTGCTGGCCTGGACCGGAATGTCAAGGCCTGGAAACTCGACGGTGATGCTGTTGGTATGGGTCCCACTGAAACCCAGCCATGCCCCATGGCTCTTCCTGGCCCCGTCTTTGTCAGAACATAAGATGGCATGAGTCTTATACCCTGTAAGGAGGGGAATTCAGACCATGGCAGCTGTCTTTGCTCAAAAGGTATTACAGGATGTGAGTCTATCCAGTTGTCCATGCAGCAGTCTGCTGATTCATTCATCCAGCTATCCATCATCCATTCACCCATCCACCCATCTACCCATCCGCCCATCCGCCCATCCGCCCATCCGCCCATCCGCCCATCCGCCCATCCACCCAACATTATTTGACTTTGTATATCTTTGCAAGTCACAAATCTGATAAGGTGTATTCTTTTCTCTTTTTAAAAACAATCTTAATTGTTGTAGTATAACATATATAAAGAAGAGTACACAAATAGGAAGTGTACAGCTTGGTGAATTTTCAGAAAGTAAACATAGACCGATTTAGTTCATCTAGATTTCTCTGAATTTTCAGCTCTTTTATGGATTTAAAAAACCTCTTAAATTATTTTCAAATTTATTCCTGTTCTGTGGTGAAATCTTCATCTTATACTTTATATTCTTAAACATATTAATCAAAATTCTTTTAAAGTCCTTGTCTGATACTTCCAATATCTGATTTACCTCTGGGTCTGTTTCCATTGTCCATCATTTCTGTTGGTTCCAGAATGATAGAGTAACAAGGACGGGATTTACACTGTCACTTGAGACAACTAAACACCTGAAGTAAATGTATGAAACTGTTTTCAGACATTGAACAACAGGTAGTAAAGGACATTAATCCCTGAGAGAATGTAAATAAATAAAGTACGACCATTGCCCCAGTTTATTGCCTATAGAGAGTTCCCAGGCTATAGGGGAGGGGAAACCCAAATAAAGCCTAGCAATTTCTTTAAGCTGAGGACGCAGAGTTTGGAGTTCAGAGAGGCCAAGGTAGCTAGAATTTATGGGACAGAGTACCAAAGTGGAGGGCACTGCAGAGAGAGAGAGAGTGTGAGAGCATTCTGCAGAGGATTCCCCTCAAGTCTTTAGCTTACTACTGCAGGTGAGGAAACTACTGTGAGTGGGAAAAGAAACACCACAAAGGAGTAGGCAGGACAAGTTTTGAAGCTCACCCAGAACTGTGAATAGTGTGTCAACCAGTTAGAGTGAAAAGACCTCCTAACACATGGGGCATCTAGGAAAGTCCTCAGAAGGATATTGCCTCAGCCTGTTCTGCGCTTATCTGACAAAGGTCAAAAGCAAACCTCAAAAGGATAAAATTATTTCCAGGTAACTTAACTGAGTCCCAGAACAAAACCGAAAAATACTTAAAGGAGTAAAAAGCAAACAAACAAGAAACCTAGGACCCAACAATGTAAAATTATCTGGCATCCATTAAAAAAAAAAAAAAAAAATTAACCAGGCAAAGAAGTAGGGCAGTATAACCCAGAATGAGGAGGAAAATTGATGGAAACCAACACAGAAATTACACAAATGATAGGATTAGTATTATTTTCCTATGACTGTTTTAACAAATTACCACAAACTAGGCAGCTTAAAAAAAAACAACAGAAATTTATTCTCTCACAGTTCTGGAGGCCAGAATTCTGAAATCATATCAGTGGGCTGAAATCAAGGTGTTGGCAGGGCTGCACTCCCTCTGGAGGCTCTAGGGAAGAATCTGTTTATGGTGGATTAATTACTTTTCTGTGTGGCCTTTCTAGCTGTGGTCCTGTAACTCCCACTCAGATGATTGTGTGATAGGGTAATTGCAGCCTACCAGCGGTATTGGTCATTTTTGCCTTAAAAGAGAGCCAATTCCAGAGCAAAGGGAGGAGCCTACCACTGAGGAAGAAGAGACCCAGCAGCAGAGACCTGACAGCAGGAGACAGCTTGGTGGGCTTCCTGGCCCATGGAGAGAGAAATCTGAGAGCCTTTGGGCAGAGACTGAGGGCTAGGAGAGGCGTGCCTGTGAGCACAGCTGGTTACAGGCTATCCTAATGGAAGAACTGTATCCTAAATGTTCCTGAGCCTGAATTGTAACTGTTACTTCCCTAATAAACCCCGTAATTGTGAGTAGGGTCTGTGAGTGCCGTATGGCCATTGCAATGAATTATCAAATCCAGTAGAGAGTGCTGTGGGAGAGATGGCTGGTGTCAGAGTTGGTAAAGATGGTGGAGAGAGAAGGCATGTTTGACCTCTGCCTTATAGGAATCAGCCTTGGGCTACTGATCTTGATTCTCCTTCCTCCTTGGAAGTTAGAGCAGGTCAGACACCACCATCAAGCCATTTTTACACCTTTTCTTGGTTCTTTGAACTTCCAGTGGCTGCTGGCATTCCTTGGTTGTGGCCACATCACTCCAGTCTCTGCTTCTATCTTCACATTACCTTCTTCTCTGAGTGGGTGTTAAATATTCCTCTGCCTGTCTCTCTTATAAGGACACTTATGATGGCATCTAGGGTCCACCTGAATAACCTAGGATAATCCCCTCATTTCAAGATCCTTAACTTAATCATATTTGCAAAGAATCTTTTTTCAAATAAGATAACATTTACAGCTTCTAGGAAATAGGACCTCATATCTTTGGGGTCCATTATTCACTCTACTACAGTCGACAAGGATGTTAAAGCAGCTGTTATAAATATACTTGATGTGTTACGGAAGGTAGAGGAAAACATCAGCATGGTTAAGAAATAGAATATATATAAAAAATATCCAAATTGATTTTAGAGATTAAAAATAACAGTGTCTGAGATTAAAAATACACAGGATGGGATTAGCAGATGAGTAGACACTATAGAAGAAAAGATTACTGAATGTGAAGACATAGCAACAGAAATACACAGGAAAAAAAAGAGTGTGAGTGAACTATGGGACAACATCAACTGGCCTAACATGTATGTAACTAGAATCCCAGAAGGAGAACAGAGAAATAGAGAGATGGAAGACATAAAAAAAAATTGAAGAAATAATAACTGACAAAATTTCCAAATTTAATGAAAACTGTAAAGCCACATATCTAAAAAGATTGAAGAATCCACAGGCAGAAGAAACATGAAAAAACAAAACAATGCCAAGGCATATCATAATCAAATTGCTGAAAACCAGTGGTAAAGAGAAAAATCTTAAAAATAGCCAGAGGAGAAAAGATACATTACATAAAAAGGAACAAAATAATGACAGTAGCCTTCTTGATAGAAACAGTGTAAGCCAAACAGTGGAGCAACATCCCTGAAAGAAAAAAAAAAAAAGCAAACCTAGAATTCCACACCTAGCAAAAATATCTTTTAAAAAAGAAAGGTGATGAAACAAAGATGAGAAGTAAGGGAACAAGGAAACTAGATTAATGGAAACAGAACAACCAGAATGGAAATAATGAGAATGTTCACGCATTGTGAAGAATGTAACCGATGTCATTGAACAGTTTGTATAGAAATTGTTGAATGGGCACCTAAACTGCTGCGTAAACCACCAAAAACACAATAAAATATGATTTTAAAAAAAAAAGGTGAAATAAAGACTTTTTCAGACATACAAAACCTGAGAGAATTTATCACCAGTGGACCAACATTATAAGAAATCGTAAAGTCCTTCAGACAGAATGTGATACCAGATGAAACTGAGGTATACACAAAGGAATGAAGAACAGCAGAAATGTTAAATATGTGAGTAAATATAAAAGAACTTTTCCTAAATTAAATAAATCTCTTTAAAAGATAACTGTTTAAAGTAAAAACAAAAACAATGTATTTTGGGGTTTATAACACATGTAAAAGTAAAATATATGACAATAATATTAGAAAGGCAGGAGAGGGAAATGGACACATACTGCTGAAGAGTTCTTATACTAGGCTTGAAGTGGTGTAATCACTTGAAGGTAGTCTGTGGTAAGTTAAAAATGTGCACTGTAACTCCTAGAGTAACTACCAATAAACAAAATAAGGTAGTGTATAAGAAGCCAAAAAAGGAGATGAAGTGGAATCATGTTTAAAAAATAATCCAAAAGAAGGCAGAAAAAGAAAACAAAGAGCAGATGGGACAGATACAAAACAGAACTAAGATGGTAGATTTAACTCTAATCATATCAATAGTGAAAAAAAATGCTGAGCCTGTCAAAAAATTAAATTCAAGGCTCAAGTAACAGTAGTGAAGAATTCTATGGGAAAAATATTGAGTGACACAGGAAGCATCAAAAGATGATGGAAGGAATACACAGAATGACTGTACCAAAAAGAGTTGTTCAACGTTCAACCATTTCAGGAGGTAGCATATGATCAAGAACTGATGGTACTGAAAGAAGAAGCCCAAGCTTCACTGTAGGCACTGGAGAAAAACAAAGCTCCAGGAATTGATGGAATACCAATTGTAAAGTTTCAACAAAGGGATGCAGTGCTGGAGGTGCTCACTTGTCTATGCCAAGAAATTTGGAAGACAGCTACCTGGCCAACCGACTGGAAGAGATCCATATTTGTGCCCATTCCAAAGAAAGGTGATCCGACAGATGTGGAAATTATCGAACAGTATCATTAATATCACATGTAAGTAAAATTTTGCTGAAGATAATTCAAAAACAGTTGCAACATGTCAGATGGATCTTGGCTGAAAGCAGAGGATACCAGAAAGATGTTTACCTGTGTTTTATTGACATGCAAAGGCATTTGACTGTGTGGATCATAACAAATTATGGATAATCTTGCAAAGAATGAGAATTCTAGAACACTTAACTGTGCTTATGCAGAACCTGTACATAGACCAAGAGGCAGTCATTAGAACAGAACGAGGGGATACTGCGTGGTTTAAAATCAGGAAAGGTGTGTATCAGGGTTGTATCCTTTCACCATACTTATTCAATCTGTATGCTGAACAAGTAATCTGAGAAGCTGGACTATATTAAGAAGAATACGGCATCAGGATTGGAGGAAGACTCATTAACAACCTGCAATATGCAGATGACACAGCCTTGTTTGCTGAAAGTGAAGAGGACTTGAAGCACTTATTGATGA